GGGACCGTTGCCGGTGGTGGATGTGCTTGTCTGGCTCTGGCTGTGGTACGTGCCGTTCTCCTGGAAGATACCAGCAAAGCTGTAGGCGGCAGCAGTCGATGAAGTCGAGGGCCAGCTGGACGTAGTGGCCTCATAGGACGAGGTCGTGGTTTCCACTACGGACGATGTGGTTGGCTCCGGTGTCGGTGTAGGAGTCGGGGTCGGCGTGGGTGTGGGCGTCGGCGTCGGTGTAGGCTCAGGTGCAGAGGTTGGGTACTCAGACGGCGACGGAGAGTTCTCGGGGTTGGGAGCCGAGCCACCAGAGCCGTTGAGGCTGGAGACCACGATCTGCGCCTTGGACCCTTTAGGAACAGTCACGACGCAAAAGTCCGACTCATGGGCGCCTCCCTGGCCATTGATGCCGTCGGGACCGATGCCGCAAGGCAAGCCGTTGCAGCCACCATCAGCGCACTTGATGTCCATGGCGTAGGTGGGCTTCGTTTTGACGAGCGCAGAGCGGGTCCACTCAGGGTTAAAACCAAGCTTGACGAAGGTGTTGCCGTTGGCGTCCGTGTTCGCGCCGGCAACATATGGAGCCCAGTTACCAACGGGCTTGGTGATAGAACCCCAGAGACATCCCTCAGCTGCCGAAACGCCCGGAGCGTTGATGTAGAAGCTGTCCATGTTGTTAGCACTCACCACAGGCAAGTTGAGAAAATCTTGGACAGCAGTGCAAGAACTTACTGGGCAGACGTCTTGTCCCAGTAGCTGATGTCAGGTACGGCAAGAGTAGCCTTGTCGTAGACCTCGGTAGCAGCAAGCATGTCTTCGTCGCCAGGAAGAATGGTCTGGCAGAAAGAAACGACCGAGCCGGCATTGTTAACAGCCTCAATGGCCCCGGTGCCGTCCACACACCACGGCTTGCCCTTGAAGCCTTCCTGCAGATTGCCGCTCTCGTCGCAGTAGATGCCGCCGTACTGTTCGAGTGGTGGTTAGGACATTTCCCAGCTACGGCGTTGCGACAATGGCGCTTCCAAGGAAGCCACTTACGGTGGACTCGGGGTAGGTGTATCTTGTCTGCGGCTTCCACTGAGCCATGACCTTGCCTGGCGGGCAGGCAATGGGACACCACTTGCCACGGGTGCAAGCCTTGTCGGGAGCCATGGCCCAGCCGCCGTTTAGGGAGTTGGGCGTGATGGCGACGGCGCCCATGTTGGTGGGGAAAGCGCAGGTCAGCCCACGCGCGACGAGCTCGGCCGTCGAGAGGTCCTCGGAGACGCTGGGCTTGGCGGCGCGAGAGTCATGGCGGTCGTGGGCGTGCTTCTTGTGCAGGTCGAAGTGGTTGTGATGCCTGTGGGCAGTCGCAGCGGAAGCCGGAGCGGATAAGAGGGCGAGAGCCGCGCCGAGGGCGGCCTGTGATGTTGTGATCTTCATGGCGACGGATGACGTCCAGGTAGATCAGAGAAGGAGAGCGAGACGAGATGGCCGGCTAGTGGTGAAGATCGGTACGTGATCTGCGGCAGCGTCGCGTCGAAGGTTTGCTTCCAGGATAGAAAGAGAGCGATCGGGCGATTAGGCGAAAGAATCTCGCCGAAAGCTTGTCAGCGTCGAGCTGGCCGGAGGGATTGCGACACAAGTATCGTCTTGAAGAGAGCTGGAGGGCCGAAGGAGCGGAACGGAGAGAGAGTCTCCTGGAGGCGATCGTGAGGCGGCACGGCAACCGGGTTGAGAGGTGTACTGCGTAGGGGAGAGGACAAGAAAGAGCCCACCCAGGGCTTCTTGTCTGGGGGCGGTGATCGACGAGGAGGCGGCCGGTCCAGAGCCTGGCGAGCCCGGCGAGCGTGGAGAAGGCAGGCTCATCACTGGCCGTCGAGATTGAGCGCCCAGCCGTTGGCAGCGCTGGCCGCGCTGGTCGCCGCAGCAGTGGAGTCTGCGTGGGGAGAGGCAGTTGGCGATGCATCGCCAGCGTGGCTGCGGGCCAATGGGCAGCCGCGCTGAAATGAGCAGCAGGGGCCGCCTGGAAATTGCAGGTCCCGCCCGTCGCCACCCCTTTTGCAAGGTATCGCCCTCCTCGACCCTCTCGCCATCTTGATCTAGACTCACCCAGAGGCCAATCATCCCGGCCTGTATCGACCAGGGCTGCCGCCAGACCATGGAGATGCTGGCATTGGCAGGGACGCCGGAGCACCTGACAAGCACGTGAGGACGGAGCACCGTCGCATCGGACTGACGCCCGGGCAGGTACTGCTATTACCACGTCTCCGATTTATGCGCTCAAGCTGCCCCTTATGCAGGAACCCGGTGGTGCATACCGATAGCGATCACCACCGCGGGCGGCGCCTCCCCCAGAACGCCTCAGGTCCAAAGCCAGGCACGGGCACAAACATCCACTCTCGTCGGCGCTAGTCACGGGCTAGTCACGCTCCAATGCCACGCCGTTCCGGCAACTGATGATTACAGTATTTCTAGGCACCTTGGGGCAATCACGCTTCGTTGCCGGCCGCCCGGGATCGCCCCCAGCGAGTGCCATCGCCAGCATTGCCCGCCATCCAACGCTTCACCGGCCTCATGGGACGGTGGTCAGTAACTCAGGGGTCCGCAATCTCGCGATGCTTGCTGCCCTGCACCTGTCCATGTCCCAACCCGACACCTGCTATGTTGGTGTGCCTCCACGGCGTGCTGGGCTCTGCCTGTCAGGTCGGCGTCCTCACGGCAGCTGTGCCATCCATCTCGTCCAGTCTGCTCGAGACGCGACGTCGCGATCAGACCCGGCACTTCTCAGTCACTGTCTGCGACACAGTGACCCTTCATGTCTCACAGGGAGTCAAACAGGTGTGCGGCCTCGCGAGGTCGGCCCATGTGTTTGGGACAAGCCAGGCACCGCCACGCCGACTACCAATCACAGTGACTTCAGTCCACATCGCCTTGCTTCCAGAACGCGTGAACCGGGCACGCTCAGTCGGGCATGAACACGCCGCAGGTCGCCTCGCCAGTGTCTCAAATGTCTCGCACGTCGGCGGCTCTCTTGTCTCTTGCATGCTTGGCGGGGTGGGCCCGTTGGCTCTTGGAAACCCCCAAGCGACCGACCGACCGACGACGGACCGCCGCCATCGTCGTCATAGCCCGCCTCACCCGCTCTCCATCACCAGCCTAACGGTAAGACAAGGCTGGCTTCCAAGAAGCAACCCCCCGAAACGTCTGTGACGTCCATGTTGATGGCTAACTACATACATTTCGTCCCTTTGACGCGACGCGACTTGCATTCGGCTTGTGATTCTCCGTATTGCTCTCTTGAAGAGCGTGTATTGGCTCCATGTCGCTGTGTCCATCTGTTGAGTGCGAGGAAAAGCTGCTGTTGGCCTCACAATACGCTCGCTCGTGCATCTTCCTTGTCCTTATCTACGCCCACAAAAAGGGAAACGGATTATCGAGTTGTGATGCCCGATCACTGTGCAGCCCTCACCACGCCGCGCATAAACGCATCTTCGACGTGGGCCATGAGGTCTTCTGCGGTCGGGGATGCGAGATATTGCTGTGTGGCCCTTTTCCATCTGCGTGGCAATGTAGGGGCCCTCTCTGTGATTTGTTGCCGTGGCAGGGTGATACCGCCTTTGCTGTATGACTATACCCTACTGTAAGGTATGTACGCACGTACATGAGCTACAATCAGCGGCCAGGCCTACCCGTGGGAAGACGTTTGTCGCCTTCAGAGAAGACTGAACTAGTGAGCTGTGTTTCTAGGAAGGCGCCTTTGGCACATTCAGGTAAACTGGCTTCGGGATGGGAGATAGGAGTCACCAATCTAACGGGAAGAGATCGGCCCGGCGATTCTGCTGATTGATGTGCCTGAAGTCCTCACAGCAGAAATTGTAGCAGCTTCTGGAACATGTGTGGGAAGCAGAGGTGGTTGGGCTGCTCAGTCTAGTTAACCGGCTGCAGGAGATTACGGAGGTAGGCATGTATTGGCAGCTTTCCAATATCGTGGCCTACTACCCACAATATCACGGTTCCATGTGATGGAATGATGAAAATTGAGAAGTGAAAAAGATAAAGAAAAAATACTCTAGGGTAAAAAATCATTAAGAGGACACGCGGAGCAGTGGTTGCCATAAGTGACGAAGTTTGACCTTCTTAGCTGGAGGTACACAACCTCTTGGGTAGGCAGAGAACAAGAGTGCCCGTTCATACGAGGAGACACAGGTCTGTGGCAGGCATTCATAGTTGTGTCATGATAATTACTTGCTCGGGTCATGAGGACTACATGCGGGAACTCGGTCTATATTGTCCTACCATAATCAGGGGTCGGTAAACTCAAGCCTACAAGCAAGGCGTCGACATGTGTGCTTCGTGCTTGTCAACTGCCTCAGTAGCAGTGTATATATATGGGCTCGATACGGCCAGGTGCTCTGCACTTCACCTTGCCAAACGCCATTTGAAAGTGTACGCTCTATCGGCAACTCCAGCCTCGGCCCTGGTCATGATTCACACAGAGCCCCGAAGAGTTCCTCAACAACTGATGCCATGATTCCGGCTGGGTGCTTCCTTAACAGAGCATGCCGTCTCAGTGAGTTGTGTAGCCAGGCACAGCTGGCCATTACCCTCCTATATGCAACAAAACACGATGGTTAAAGAAGCCGGGGTGTGAACTTTGATATAGCCAATAAGGTCAACAAGAGGCCTCTGCCTGAGTTTATATTTCTCATTTTCCCCTCCCTTTTGATTATTTTCTCACATCAACAGCATGTCTCTCAGTTTTACATCTACTGGGATCAAAGCAGTAGAGAAGCTCATAGTCTTCACGTGGGAAACCCAAGAAGAAGACACTCTTCAGTTGAGCGACAAGATGTCTCGAGTTTCAGCAAATTCTTTGTTTCTTCTTGGTGCGCCGCACATGCACCCGGCCCGCTGATGCTACATGTGGAGCAGAAAACACGGCGTTGTGGGCTTCGTGTGCGTGTGCCACATGTGAGTGCTTAAGCCGCGGCCCACAACAACACCAGGCAAGAACCACACACATCACGGGCATGATGGCAGAGTGGTCTAATGCGATAGACTAGAAATCTATTCTCTTCGGAGGCGTAGGTTCAAATCCTACTCATGTCGATGCTATCCTTTACAGCGTCAGGAGCAACACGCTCCGAGTTCTTCCTTTTTGTTGTTGCTGTGATGCTGCATCGCGGTGTTGGGCGCAGAAGGTTGCGTCCCAGCACAAAATAAGCTAGACTATTCTTTTTTGTGCCGGGAAAGCGCAGACTCTCCGCGTGTGATCTGGTCGTCGCCTGACAAAATAGTGAGCACTTCTGGTGTTTAAAATTAAAACTAAAAGCCCTCGACACATGGCAAGTCGGCTTGCAGTGTGTGCATGTGCTGGTCTTTGACACACCGCCAGGCTAGAATGGGGCTCCTGCATTCTCCTCTGGACCTGCACTTTGATGCCTGGCCTTGCGTATCATTTGATCCGGCCGACCATCATCGTAAGCCACATTCCCATATTTATGGTAATGCTGCCCCTCGTGGCCGGATGCACAGGGTCCCGTCTTCCGGGTCATCGTCTCCCGTGTAATTTAGAACTGCGGCCAATACAATTCCAGCTCACCCATCATCTCCTTGTGGAAACCGCTGTCTGACACCACAGCGCCCAAGCATGGGACCGTCAAGCTCGCTTGGCTCTTGCTGACGGCGCACTATGCATAGAACAGGCCCTAGGAATGTGCGGCTTTCTGGTCGGCGCAGTAGCTTATGAGCGGTGTCTTGACAAAAAGCTGTGATTCTCAGTTGGACAAGGTCCCTCGACGGCCAACTTTGATGGTCGAATTACCACCAATATGGAGGTTGACCGTCTGATCTGGAGCACCTTCGGCCGAGACATGCCGTCGCATGCACAAAAGCAATCATCCCATGAATGCTTGCGTGCACCCGTAAATGGCATGCTTGCAAAGCATGGATGCTCTTGGCCCGTGAGACTGTGTAAGCCCTAGCCTGGTGAGCAGCTGCGCATGTCGTGAATGATTGGCTGACAGGGAGACGGGTCTGATGGCTGCATAACACTTGATTGGCTGGAGGCGCCTCTGAAATCTCCCAAAACGGGAACTGTGGCGGGCACTGCCAGCGAATTGCGCGTGCTATTTTGGGGACAATCTTTTCCCAACAGTGCAACCCTGGATTGTGCAGCCAGCAGCACAGCGCAACCCATGGGATGCCTGCCCGCGCTGCGGCACTGCCACGCCCAGAACAGCACACGGCGGCAGCATGCGTAGCCGCCAGCCGCCGTCCGCGCAGGCCCAGCCCTACAGACACCCAACCCAGCACCGCCCAGCCGGCCGGCTCCCGGATAAACGAAACAAAAGCCTCCCGGAACGCTCCTCTGCCGGGCGGCCGTGGGCGCCCCCGGACCCGAATCATCAACACAGCCCTACTGCAGGGGAGTTCCACTTTTTGTTTCTGACAACACTCTGCCCGGAGCTGGCATCGGGCAGGGAACACCATGCTGACGCTGCTGACGGGCATGCATCTGGGTCTTGGACAACATCGTGAGCTCTTGTCCGCACACGATGCATATAAGCCTGGAGTGTTTCGCACTTCGGATGGTCTTCTTTCCCCTCTCTCACCCTCATCCCATCATCACAAACACACAGACCCAACAGCCTTTTCCTAAAGTCTTTTCCTTGTTTCCTTGGCTCGGTTCTCTCTTCAAGTCTCGGTCTTCTTCCAATCTGCAAGCGACTCTCACGAACATACTCGCTCGACACAGCACATCCTCAACACCACAACAACCATCGCCATAATGCAGTTCACAAAGCTCACCGCCCTGGCCGTCCTGGCCTACACCGCCCAGGCCGCGCCCTTCTGGAACCACCCCAACTCCCAGCACAGATCGAGCGACAGCAGCAGCAGCAGCAGCCTGACCTTTGTCACATCGCCCCCGTCTGCCACCGCCACCGCAACCAGCACCACTGCCGTCGCGGCTGCCACGGCCACCACCTCGCCCGCCGCCCCCGCGGCTCCCACGGGCCTTAGCAAGACCGCCCAGATCCTGCTCGCCGACACGCGCGTCGACGGCATCAACAACGTCCTCAAGGACAACAAGGACTTTGTCTTTGACTTTTCCGCCGGCCGCCAGACGACCCCGACCACCGGCAAGGGCGGCCAGATCGTGACCGCCAACCGCAAGACCTTCCCTGTAAGTCCAAACCTCTCATGATCAGGTCCCCGAGTAGGCCCCTTGGAAGAAAAGCAACGGCGCGCTAACATGACGACAATCCACCTTGCAGGCGCTCACCGGCCAGAACATCGGCATGGCCGTCGGCTTCATCGGCCCCTGCGGCTTCAACACGCCGCACATCCACAACCGCGCGACCGAGCTCCTCATCGTGACAAAGGGCCGCGTCATGTCCGAGATGGTCATTGAGAACGGCGTCAACGACGCCGCGGGCAAGCCGCGCAACGTGGCCAACGAGATCCGCGAGTTCCAGATGACGCCCTTCTTCCAGGGCTCCATCCACAGCCAGTTCAACCCGGACTGCGAGGACGCCGTCTTCATCGCGCCCCAGTCCAGCGACGACTTCGGCGTCAGCCAAGTCGCCAGCAACTTCCTCGCGCTCGACGGCGAGACGGTCCGCGCCACGTTTGACAACTTCTTCGACGGCGCGCACATTGACGAGTTCAAGGGCAAGGTCAGCAAGAACGTCGCCCTGGGAGTCGAGGCGTGTCTGAAGAAGTGCAACATCAACAAGCGCAGCCTCTAGAAGAGTAGCAACTTACACTGTCTGGGCTGTGTCTGCGCACACTCTCCGTAGTGTGCCCCGTGGTGTTTCTGTTTTTTGGTTTGCATCATAGACTTTTTGGGAGGGAAGACGTGGACGACATCATGACTTGTTATCATGGCATGGACCTGGGCCTTGGGATCAGCGGGTGTTTTTGCCTTTTGGGAGTTCTGTCTGCATTTCAGGGTTGTTCTGGGAGTCTTGGGATTGTCGCTTTCTTGATTTTATACTACTACCCTTCACAAACCCCCCTTTATTCACAACGTAACATTTTATCTTCACCAATGGCTGCCCCCTTTGTCCTCCTCCTGTGGTGACTTCTGACATATAATCTGCTGTACTGCTCGCGAACTAGTGTCACTTGGTTAGCACACTTCATGACCAGCACTCCCTCAACCTCCGCGCGTCGCATGATCGGCTCCGGGCAGCGAAAGGGGAGATGGACTCGCTGAATCGAGGTTGAACTTGCGGCATACGGGAACACAATGTCGACGTTTTAAAGGAAGGAAGAGAGTGGAAACAAGCAAGCCCATTGGAAGCACCCCGAAGCAAGTGGCCTCTGGCTGCGCCCGCCATTTCCGCTCCATCATACGACGCGTTGAACCATGCCCGGCCAGCATCCAGAAAAAAAGTGAGAACTGACACCAGCTGTGTCCCGCTGCTCAGCTCGTCAAGGTGACGACACCCAAGGCGCACCCCGATACCGTCATTCCTTGCCGTCCCGGGGCTCAAACAGCGACTTCCGGAATCTGCTGATCGCCACGTCGGGTCGGGGCCACGACTTGACTTTTCTCTACGTTTTCAAGCCACAGTGGAGGGCGCGCGTGCCATGCGTGACGCGCCTTTCTTCGGCGGGCTCCGATGAAACCTGGAACCCTCTCTGCTCCCAAGACTCTGGGAAACACACCGAGACTCCTTCTACCAGGACTCGCACCCTTGTACCTACCTTAGGTACCTTACACTAACTCTGACGCAACCGGTCCGGGAGGAGAAGCCTACACTACATGTTCTGGTCACGGCTGAAAGGAAATCGTGACAATCGCCCCCTTTCTCTTCAGCAGCTGATGGGCTCGGGGCCAATCCATGGACGCCGAACAGCAAAGAGAGTTGACTGTGCTGATCACACCACACCTAGGTACTTTGATACTTCAGTAATGCAACGCGATCATGATCCTGCGCGGCGGACGAGAAAGACAGCAGAGACGATCTCACATCACGAGCACAGTTACGCCGAGACACAGTATGAGTTCCAGAGGGAATGAATGTGGTATTGTTTTTAACTATGTACGGAGAGATGCATATCTTCGTGCAGTTCATCGTCTGATCAAGACCATGGTTGTTGTTGGGGAATCATAATATGCCCAGAGACGTGATTCTGCATCTGATCATCTCCGGACAGCTTGGGTATTAAAAAAAGAGTCTGGCAACGATGACATGTCTGATCCAAGATGGTATACGGTTTATATAATACCCTGGACCTTCCATATCTCCCCGCCTCAGCACCTCACTGCCACCCCCGCCCGGCTAGGAAGAGGGGAGCAAAAAGAGGCCTGCACAAGCGCCCGCGCCCTTGTCAAGAAGCTGCTGCCTCTTTAGACAGGGGACTGGCTGACGGTCTGGCTGGCCAGGGGCTTCTCCTCGTTGACGGCAACGTGGTTCATCTCGGAGGCGAAGGTGTGGCTGGGGCGCCACTTGGCAGACTGGCGAGGAGTGGTCTCGGACATGCACATGTCAGCCTGCTCGAGGGACAGGCCCTTGAGCTCGGGGACGAGGAAGTAGGCAAACGTGACCGACAGGCAGCAGAGGGCAGCCCAGAGGAAGAAGACCTTGGCGCCGAGGTTGCCCTTGGTCTCGCCAACGAGGTAGGGGGTGATGAGACCAATGATGGTGTTCCAGAACCAGTTGGAGGCGGTGGACAGACCGACACCGCGCGAGCGGATGGGCAGGGGGAAGATCTCTCCGATGACAACCCAAGCTGTAGGACCCCAGGTGGTGGCGAAGAAGGCAATGTTGATGCAGATGAAGGCAATCATGGCTGAGACGGCAGCAGGGTTGTTGTCCTCGACTCTGCCCTGGGTGACACCGACGGCACCGACAATAAGCTGAGAGAAGATCATGAAGGTGCCACCGCCGAGCAGGAGGGCACGGCGACCGAACTTCTCAATGATGTAGAACGAGATCGGGGTGGAGCAGACGTTAACGATGGTGGTGACCATGGCGATGAGGAAGGGGTCCGAGATCGTGCCGAGCTGCTTCAGGAAGGGAGGGCCAAAGTAGAAGATGAAGTTGATACCAGTGAACTGCTGCATGCACTGGAGACCAATACCGAGCAGGGTGCGG